GCAGTTCAGGTCACATGGTAACTTGGTGGCCCATGATCAAGCATTCAGTTTCTACTAAGGTCCAGTAGCAAGCCAAGAGCTATCTTTCAAAAGGAGGGTAGTTATCTGTGGTTGATGGCAGGGCCTTGCTCCAAAATCATAAAGGCCTCTACTGTGATTTACCAATGGGGTCCTGCCAAAGGCTCCAAACAGCATCCCTATCTGTCACTGACATCATAAGTACCATTGAATCAGCTGGATCATATGGTCCAAGTGGCAATGCAGCTTGCATAATAGCCAGGATCTGTTGCAGCCCCTCTTGCATCTAGAAGCTTTTCCAGTGAGTAAACGGGCCAAATCAACATACCCAAGTGAGGAAAGTGTTGCTTCCAAAATCCAAAAAGGCCCACTAGGCATTGTTTCTTAGTTACAAAAAACGCCAGATGCAAGAACTTATCCTTCATCTTAGAAGGGATAGCTCAACAGGCCCCAAACTATAGGACCCCTAGAAATTTCAATGAGATAGAAGGCCTTTGAATTTAGTAAAACACAAATGTTTTACCAGTAAACCCACAGTGGTTGCTACTTCTTACTAGGAACAATCAGCCTAATGTCATCAATGTAATGGACCAGTATGATATCTTACAGAAGGGAAGGCAATCAAGATCTCTAAACTAAATTATGACATAAGGCTAGAAACTTGATATACACCTAAGGCAGGACAGTGAAGGTGTTTTGCTGACCCTTATGGACAAGTATAGAGAAAAATGCATTTGCCAGTTCAATAGCTGCATACCAGGTACCCAGAGATGTGTTAATTTGCCCAAGCAATGAAACCACATCTGGTACAACAGCTGTAACTGGAGTCACCACTTGGTTAAGCTTACTGTCTAATGACAATAATCTACTGTCATTCCCCAAGATCCATCTGTCTTCTACACAGGGCAGATAGGATTGTTAAATGAGAATGGGCGGGGAACCACCACCTCTGCATCTTTAGAGTCCTTCCTGGTGGCACTAATCTCTGAAATCCCTCCGTAGATGTGATATTATTTTTGATTTACTATTTTCCCTGGTAGACGCAGCTCTAATGGCTTCCATTTGGCCTTTCCCATCATAATATCCCTCATTCCACAGATGAGGCAACCAATGTGGAAATTCTGCTCAGTATGCTAAGTATGTCTATTCCAACTATGCATTCTGGAACTGGGAAGGTGACCACAGGATGGGTTTGGGGACTCACTGGACCCACTGTAAGTCAAACCTGAGCTAAAAACTCCACTGATCACCTGACCTCTATAAGCTGCTACTCTGACTGGAGGGCCACTGTATTTTGGGTCTCCTGAAATCAGTGTCAGTTCAGAGTCAGTTATTAGTAGTTCCCTGAAAGTTCTGATGACTTCTTTCCCCAATGCACAGTCATCTAGTAAAAGGGTGTAAGTATTAACAGTATAAATGTTTGGTAGTATACCCAAATAAAGGGTAGTGTACCCTTTATTCAAAGGGTTCTGGGTCTATAAACTGGTTCAAGTCTGGAAATTGAGCAGCCATGATTATCTGTTTTTAGTATTTGAGTTAGACTTTTGTTTACATGACCTGGAAGTTTTCTGCTTATACACATCAAGTAAGAACATAGTAAGCTTCCCATCTATTTCACTTCTAGGAACACCAAGATTAATTAGCCAAAGCCAAAGGTCTACATGAGTTATTCTGATTGTTGCTTTGCCTCTGCTATTCCTTCATTAGAGTTAACTATGCCCACTTTGCCTTTGGCAGTTGAGTTTTGCCACTTGGACCCTGCCACCTTGGAATCCAATTATTCCCATTCTTTCCCAATCAGTGCCCTCACTTTAACAGTAAACATCCTGTGAGGCTGGGTGCACCTTTCTTTGTAGGTAAAAATAGTTGCATGATCAGGGATTGCATTTGGGTTTTGGTAATTTCAACCCTAAAGCTGTTGAGAAGATTCTCCTTCAGAGAACACTTAGAAGTTTCTGGACTATTTATGTATACCTGGAGCTGAGAATTCAAATCTCTGAGCTCATCTTTTTCTTTCATTACTTTATCCAGCAATATTAGTAGCAACCAACTAATGTCATTATGTTTCTTGACTTTCCACAAATGTCCTAAAATATCACGTACAGACTTACCAAGCGCATTGCTTCTTGTAAGTGGTGAATTAGGAGTGTCACAAGCATTTATTTTGTATATCTCTATAAACAGCTCAGCAATGGACTATCAGTGCTGTCTGTACTGTTAGAAATAGAGTCTCTAGCATTTTTAGCTCTAATCAGATTAGAGGGCCAATTCCAGAAACCCCAAAACCAATTAAGAAAATCCACCCTTAAAATTCTGTTCCTCTGGAAGTACTCCTGGTATCAAACCCTCATCTTATTTCCCTAGTTCTTAAGGCAGTTCTTGATGATGTTCCTTGAAATTATGCCTAGAGCAGCAAAAGGAAAAATCAAAGTAATTCTTGAAATGATTCAACCCAAGGGGAATCTCAGTTGATCCTAAGACCAGGAGAGGAGGAACAAGACTATCTTTGAAAAAACCATCTCAGGCAAGGTGCAGTGGCTCATGCCTGTAATCCCAGCACTTTGGGAGGCCAAGGCAGGAGGATCACTTGAGCCAGGAGCCAATAAATCATGGATAAGAACGGACTACTGTAATGACAGTCTTGTTGTTACCAAATGCTATGGTTTGAGTATCCCACTAAAACTCATGTTGGGACCTTAATTCCCAGTGCAGCAATATTGGGAGATGGAACCTTTAAGAAGTGGAGCCTAATGGGAGGCATCTGGGTCGTGGGGACTCCCTCTTCCCTTATGGGCAGTGTGCTGACAATTCTTGCATTAGTGAGTGATCTCTCTCTCACATAAGACAGGATTAGTTTCTGAGAGCAAGCTGTTAGGAAGCGATTACAACTCTCATGTTTTGCCCCTCTACACATATTCTCTTCCTCCTTGACTTCTGCCATGTTATGACATAGCACAGAAGCCAAGCAGATGCTGGCCCCTGCTCTTGGACTTCCCAGCCACCAGAATCATGAGCCAAATAAACCTCTTTTCTTTATAAATTACCCAGCCTCATGGATTCTATTATGGCAATACTGAAGAGACTAACACCATGATTTCAGAAAATAAGACTGGCTGAGATGCATGTGTCATATTAATGTATAAAAACAACAGTCACAGTACTGCTGAACTCCACTACCTCTCACCATCAGTGAAGAAACTTCTACAGCACTAAGGAGAAGGCCCATTTGGTAGACCCAACTTGGATGACTTGGGATCATGGAGGTAATCCCAAGTAGTAAACAGTAGATCTTAGTTACAACACAGATTTACAGTCACATGTCCTTTGGTAGGCTGTACAGCAGTTAGGGAGTGAGTTCCCTGCTATAATTGTGAGTCATGCATTGACATGGCTCTCCCTATGCTATGGCATGGAAAATATACATGAGCTCCTTCTTTGAGTAGAGAAAATATTCATATAGGTGTCTTCTATTTAATTAAAAAGAAACTATGAAATAAAGCACTCTAAAGAATGCTTTCTTTATTCACATGCTGAATCCTTTGTGCTAGCAAGAAAAATAGAGACTATAGAATATGTCTTTCTCATGGAGCTAAACAAAAAGGCTACTTGCTGATTAATTAAATTGAGATAAAAGCATCACATATTATGTTTGACTATGTTATATTCTCCATCATAAGGTACAAATCTCTCTTTTGTTTTCCTCATTTTCAATCCAAAGAGATAAGGATTTTTGCCAAATTGTTCTACTAATGGAGCCCATCTTAACCCATCTAAGATGTGAACATCTTTTTTTCTGGTTGACATCAAGGTTTGTGAAATAGGTTTTATATATTGCCAGTCAACATAGTACACTGTACAGGTGATGGTGACAGGACATAAATTGTACCTGTTGTTAATCTCTTCAGGTACAAACTAAATGAAACTGAACTTGTGACTTTGTTCTTTCCTAATTTAAACCAAATCCTTTGTTTCATGAATAAAAAGATAATTTAGTAAAATTTCCTGTCTCTCTGTTATAGCTGCTTACAGAGTGAATAAAAGTGTTTTAGACAGTCTGCCAACAACATAGTCCTGTGCTTTTCCAGCATTTTATCCCTTAAAATTTCTGAAGTTGATCATAAAGAATCTACAAGTAAGATAAGTTTGGAGCTATACTACTATTTTTAAAACATGTGGATAACATTTTTTTTCAGTTTGTTTCAATTAACAATAGCAGCAACTAATTACCATTTACTGATACCCGGCTATGTTTAAGCACTGTGCTATATGCTTTGCAAACATTTACTTAATGTTTATAGTAACTCTGTAAGGTAGACAGTATTTCTGCTTTACAGATGAGGGAACTGAGGCTCAGAGTGGTTACCTGCCACACAGCATGTAACTGATTTTTTTATCACCCCAACTACTGCTTCCTTGCAACTGAATTTCAGCCTCAACAGCAAAGTCCTAAGTTTAATTATCAAGCATTAATCAAACTATTATTTACTGTAAAAATCTGTCCCAAAATATTACAATTTAAGAAAATGTGGACAATACTATATAACATACAAAGATAGAAAGATATTCAGGTAAGGTCACATAAAAGCCAATAATGGGCTGGGTGTGGTGGCTTACACCTGTAATCTCAGCAGTTTGGGAGGCTGAGGGAGGAGAACTGCTTGAAGCCAGGAGTTCAAGACCAGCCTGGGCAACATGGCAAGACGCTGTCTCTACAAAAATTTAAAAATTAGCTGGGTGCAGTGGCATGTGCCTGTAGTCCTAGCTACTCAGGAGGCTGAGGTGGGAAGATCCCTTAAGCCCAGGAGTTTGAGGCTACAGTGAGCTATGATGGTGCCATTGCACTACAGTCTGGGTGACAGTGTGAGACCTTATCTCTTAAAAAAATTAATAAGAAAAAAATAAAAAGCCAAAAATGCCCAATGTTTTCCCCATTTTGAAAGCAGAAAATTTCCCCCAAATTCTTCTTCAAAACTCTATTTCCTAGTTTTTGCTTTATTTTTGTAATCAAATAACAATACAAAAACACACAAATGCCTTGCCAGCATCAGGTACACCACAATCATGAAAGATAAAATAATCCCCAGGCAATTAAATGACCATCAGCTACAGCCCTTTGCATCAGCTACAATGGACCCATTCTGGCTTCACATTCCTAATATGTGTCTCTGCATATTATTCATAAAATATATTCTGAATCCAAAAATTAGATGAAATCATGGGCAACTCAGGAGTCCTAACCTTCCTACTCATCTACCTATTGCACTAGTAGGAAAAAATGGGAGGAAGGAAATAGGATATATCTAATACTTTCGAAAGCATTATTCCCATATGAAGGAGTAGGGAAAATGGGGCCTCAGTTATCAGATCCACATGCCAATTATGTCAAGAGGCAAAAGAAAACTGTCAGTACTGAAGCTGAGAAGTCTCAGTACTCCTTAATGGCAAACTGTCCTTGGACACTAGCTCAGAATTAGTGAGCTAATTATTAGAAAAAGAACGCAGTTCCTGAGCTGACCAAGAATTACATAATGGGATAACTTGGGGAAAAGACTCTTCATTAAATATTTTAAGACAGAATTCAGGAATTCTTCCTCCTATCCTGGCTTTGGTCAAGACAGTGAGATCATATCACTAGATAACTCAGTTGGCTGCACATAAATTAGAACACAATCATTAAAATATCCAATCTCTAAACCCAGTGTCTTCAAAACTCTATCCCAATTCTACTCTACAGTACAATTCCTTCTGGAGAGCAAACCCTTCAGAGCACATTTCTACAGTCTAATAGAAAATATTTATGGGTCTGTCAAGAATGATGATCTTGAATGAAAGAACCTTGTATAATATTCAATACAGCAGCCACTGGTCACACAGAGCTACTGAGCACTTAGAAAGTGGCTAGTGTGACTGAGGAACTGGATTTAAAATTTCAATTAATCTTAATACAAATAACTACATATGGCTAGAGGCTATGGTGTTGGGCAGTATAGTTCTAGATGCTGTAATAGTTCATTTTTAGTGACTAAAAATGAAAAAAAAGAATCTTTTCTTTCTTGAGCCCCAACAAAATAGCCAGGAAATCACATTATTTACTCAAAAAGATCCTTTCTCTGGGTAAACCCTTGAGGCCAGTAATGATGTATATCTACCCAATAAAGGAAGAGAAAATAATTCAGTGGCAATTCTAGCTTCAGGTTCTCACAGATTCCTTTGCTTACTCTCAGGATTACTCTGTAGGTGTCCTTTTGAAGTTATTACTACCTTACCTTAAATCAAAAAAGTCCTCCTTTCTTCATCCTAGGTGGATGAATCTCTCACTGGACAGATCCAATAACCTGGTGATTGGGGTTTTCCCATCCTTTAAACTGGGAGGTTGACTTTTTCCAAATGTTTTGACAAACACACCAAAGAAACTTTATAGCACAATAATCAGAGAATAGCTGAATTGTCATGGTCCAACAAGAAAGAAAAAACAATCACCAGGCTTTGGGACTCAGGAAGATGTATTTGATACTGAAAATGAAGGGATGAGGGGCACTTCCCCTGAACAGTTTTTCCAAGTCCATTCAAGAGGAAAATCCTCAACATCAGGAGACTCAAAAGGCTTTTCTACGTGAATTTTCCGATGCTGATTGAGGTAGGCACTTCTGCTGAAGCATTTCTCACAGCTGGTACATTTGTAAGGTTTTTCCCCTATGTGGGTCCTCCGGTGCCTGATAAGGTTAAAGCTCTGACTGAAGCATTCACCACAATCAGGACATTTATAAGGTTTCTCTCCTGTATGTGTCCTTTGGTGAATCACCAGGGTGGAACTCTGACTGAAAGTTTTCCAGCACTCAGAACATCTGTAAGGTTTTTCTCCTGTATGTGTCCTCTGGTGTCTAATGAGATGGGAGCTAAGGCCAAAACTCTTTCCACATTCACAACATCTATATGGTTTCTCTCCTAACTGGATTCTGCAGTCTTCTATCACACTGCAGTTCTGATTCAAACTTTCTTCATATTCAGAACTTTCATAGGATTTCTCTCCTGTGTGCGTTTTCTGGTGGGTAATAAGGTTTGAACTACGACTAAAATTCTTCCCACATTCTGGACATTGATAAGGCTTTTCTCCTGTATGTATTCTCTGATGTTTTATTAGAGTAGAATTACAACCAAAGCTTTTTCCACACTCAAGACATTTGTAGGGCTTCTCACCTGTGTGTGTCCGCTGGTGGCGTATGAGGCTGGAACTCTGACTAAAACTCTTCCCACAATCAGGGCACTTATAAGGTTTTTCTCCAGTGTGAGTCCTCTGATGCTCTATTAGGACATAACTGTGACTGAAGCCTTTTCCACAGACACAACATTCATATGGTTTTTCACCTGTATGTGATCTGTGATGCTGAATAAGGTGAGAGCTGCTGCTAAATCTCTTCCCACACTCAGGGCATTTATAGGGTTTCTCTCCCGTGTGAGTTCTTTCATGGATAATAAGATGGGAGGTATTGCTGAAGCTTTTCCCACATTCACCACACTGGTAGGGTTTCTCTCCTGTGTGCATTCTTAGATGCTGAATCAGGTGAGAACTGTTACAAAAGCATTTCGCACACTCAGAGCATTTATAAGGCTTTTCTCCTGTGTGGGTCCTTTGGTGAGTACGCAAGTGAGAACTATTATTGAAGCTTTTCCAACATTCGGAACATTTGTAGGGTCTGTCTACAAAGGATGAATTCTGCTGGACAGAGGCATTGGTATGTTTTCCTGGGTCCCATTCCTGGTGATTGGGGTTTTCCTCCTTTTTAGCTATAGAGTTTCCCCAATTCTCTGACTTGCCATCACTCTCACAGGAATCATGACACCAAATCTCATCTTGAACCCATGTCAATGGCATTACTTTTGCATCCTCATGCTTATAATGTTGTGGTCCGTGTCTTTTAGACCATTCTGAAGGTTTCTCTTTAAGATTATCTGCCTTAGGATTGTTGTGGTGAACAGTTTCCAAATTATTCATACTTTCATCTCCTGCAAGAATAAACAAATATTCTAACCATATTCCTGAATCTCTGCCAGAGAAATAAATTCTAAATTGCAGTGGAAGAGAGGAAATAACAATGTGAAACCTCATAAGTAATTACATATAAAAAAATTTTTAAAGACAGTTTTACTTCTTTTCCTCTGTTTACCAGAGGCAGGTGGATGTTTTTTGTACTTAGCAAAAACACTAATGAATTATTTGAATCATTATTGGCAAAGGGAACATCAAACTAAAAATAAACGCATTAAATTACATTCTAGAAGACTTAAGAGAAAAAACAGGATTGATACAGGAGTGAAATTGAACAGAATACCATCTCAGGTAAAAACTAGGCAACAGCTTTGCTAAAATCTGAGCAAATACTATACAAATAACAATAGCCACTACTTATTAAGAACAGTAGCTTTGGATGTGGTATCTCAGTAATCCTAAAATATGAGACAGATACTCATTTTCTTAAAGATGAGAACAATGAGGCTGAAATAATTAACACAGCTTTTAAGTGACAGCACAAGGAATTAAAGTTTGTCTCATTCCACAGTCTTGTTCTTTCTACATCAAATTTCTTAAGGATTCATATCACTGTTTTGATCCCTCACCTGTGAAGGGGATTTTCAAATTCTCCCTCTTCATGAAGCTGTTACAGTCTGAGACCAACAGTTCTTTTTCTTGCTCCATCACAATGATCACAGCCACGTTACGGATCAGAAACCCTGTGGAAGGAAATAAATTATGTTTGGAGGTATTTCATAAGTTCAAGCTTATTCTTCCTCCTTCCTTCCCAACCATTCCAACATAACAATAGGAAGCACAGAATGTTCATGAACCATACTGAAAATAAGAAACACAACTCTTAGCAGCCCTTTTAGAAAATCTTATCTCTGATGCAAGTGTTTAGAATTAAGGGTTAACCCAATTAACCTTTTCTAAAGAAATAACAGTGCAAAAAATTAAATCTCCACATTAAAGGTTTGAAGATCAAGCTTCAAAGACAGAACACTAATCCTCATTGTCCAAGCGTAGCTTAGAAACACTTTTAACTTAAAAAACAAAGTATTTTTTTAAAGACATCAATAATAAAACGTATAAAGACTTCAAGGAATCAATACACAAGCATAAGAAGCAGCTAAAGAAGAAAAAAGCACTCTGTTTAGTTTCAAAAGAATAACTTGGTCTTGACAGAAGGAACCCTTTGAAGTTAATTTCAAAGGAAAGTTAGGATTTATATAACCATTAAAGAGAAATCAGGACAAAGCAGGGGTGGAATAATAACCATGAAATATAAAAAGGAAGCTAAAGAGGGGCCTCCTCCTCCTTGCTCTTAGTTTCTAAGTCTATCGTATTCACAAAATCCACTTCAGCCTAAACTTTGTCTTCTGGAGCCAACAATCATTAACCTATTTTAAGGGACTAGAAAATGTGATCTACCACAGGAAGGCAATGACATATGGACTTTTGGCATCCATTTCAGAATATGAAGAATATAATCATTTGGGAGAAAATAAGGACCTAAAAGGATATACAAGTGCACATATTTTAAAAACAAAAATAGTATCTGTACTTATATTGCATTTTCACCATTACTGCCTATTATATGCCAGGTAGTGAATGAAATAATTTGCATATATTTGTCATTTAATTCTTACAATAGCTCTCTGAGGTGTATGAACAACTACCAGCATTTTACAGATGAGTTTAAAACGTATTAAGAAATTTTCCTAAGATCACCTAGAAAGTGATAGAGCAGGATTGAGCTCCAAGTCTGATTAGATGCTGACGTTTTTTCACCCACTTACTTATTATTGTAAACTAGAACAGGAAGCAGAGGTGAGCATAATCCCAAACTGCAAATGAACCTCAAAATTCCCTTTATTTTAGAATATATTGGCTGGCGTTTTAGAAAACACATCTACATTCCTAAGTCTTGTAACAAAGTGAGTTGACATTCGATAAGCACACTCATCAGCAAGTAGATTTGTTCTAGAGAAACATGAAACTGTCTACATTACTAATATCCCCAGTGTTTGAATGAGAGGTGGGGAACCATACACCTGAATGCAAAAAAAGGGAGGGGTGGAGTTGCTCGAATGGAGTTATATACTTTGCTGTCCTAGTTACATACTGTCATCAAAGTATTAACAAAAGAAGCATGAAGGAACAGTGAGTGCCTTCTGCGTAACACATTACCATCCGACCATTTTCCCTACTAAAATACTACTAAATTTGGCAGCAAAGGAGCCCAGGAACAGTGACTCAGCAAAATGGTGGCAAACTCAAGGCCATAAAAGGCTGCCATTAAGATGTCACTCCACGGGGAAGGGCTGTTTTCACTGTTACAGAGCAAACAGGTGATTAAGGTGGGGCCGTGCTTTGATTAGAAAGCCTTCAAAGAAAATGCACTGCATGAAGCCTCGTTTTAAGAACCGCTAACAGGGACAAGTTGGAGACACTGTGGGGTGAAGTTCCAGGATACCAGACGGTCTCCGGCAGACAAGATCCTTTAAGGGACCTGGCAGGCAAGGATGACGGTGGCCCGCCGGCGGGAGCTGCTGGGCCTTCGCCCCTGGCAGCAGCGGGATCTCTCTCCCGGAGGTCCACTGCAGCCTGGACGGAGCTGTTTCCACTCCTCTAGCCCGCAACCCTCGGCTCCCTTCCCCCAAAGAAGGAACTCACTGTTCTGGGGGCTACACCCAAGGCGCCTGCACCCCCAGCAGTCCGGGAGGAAGGAGCCCCCCCTGCTCTCTCTCTGACCCTACCAACCCAGGTTCCTAAACTCTCAAACACGGAAGACATAAACAGGAAGTTACCCCATCTCCCCTGGCGGCTTTGCTGGGGCCGCTCTAGGAAACAGTGATGGCCAACTCTCGTTGATCTTAACCCTTAGGGTCCTGGACCAGAAGGAGCGTGAGGGTGGATTTCCTTTCCTTGTGCTGTGACCAGCCAACTGTGAACCTCATTCCTCTCACTTCTCAGGCGGCTTACAACAGGGGCCTGATTGGAGCTTCTATTTTTCCTTGCCATCAGAGCATCATCAGATTAATTATCACGATTAGAATCGAAATCAGACTAGTATTTATTAAACACCTACTGTTTCTGTTCGCACCGCTGTGAGAGTGGATATATATTTACTTATCTGTGAAAGTTAGAGAGCTAAGGCATCCATTCACATATAAAACAATCCGTTTACTTAACTCCCGGAAAAGTAGTTAATCCGTCCTCTTTCATTACAGAGAAAAGAGAAGGCAATCCCTTCATCTCACTTCTACCAAACAGAAATCTACTCAAGTAGGCACCCTGCCATTTTCTTTCTTCCCTCCTGTTACAACAGAGTCCCTCTTTGGCATTTTAACAAGCCCTTTACTGGTACTCATTTTCCTACCCATCTTCTTGGAAAGTTTACACTACCAACTAAACTCTCAATCCCTCCACTCCCACCCCCAAATAGTCCCTCCGCTTTTCCTTTCTCTTTATACTCACAATGTTTCCATTTCATCAATTTTCCACTAACCTTAACATTTCTCCTGCAACAACAAGAAAAAATCACTAGCATCACCAGTGACCTCCACGTTGTTAGTGCAACTGGTATTTTTTAGTTGTCAGGTCCCTTTTCAGGGGGGTTGACGTGGCTATGGACTCATCTTCTAGAGCACTCTTTCGAGGTGATACCACATTCTCCTCCTTTTCCTCCAACATCTCTAGTTCTCTGTTAGTCTCTTTTCCAAGTCAGTCCCTCAAGGTCATCCTACCCCTCTCCTCTTATTACTGAGTGTTCTCTGCCAAGGCAATCTCATACATTCCCACATTTTCACATACCACCTAGACAGACAACACAAAAATTTTTTTCTCCAGCCCAAGCTACATGTCTGAGCTCCTCACTTATAACCATGGTCTACTTGGCATCTCATACAGCAAGTCTCAATAACAACTCAAAACCAAAATGTCAAAAATCAAAATCATAATCTGTCTTTTCACTCACTGTTCTTCCCCATATACACATGTAAACACAAAATAAAACAAAATAAATCTGTTTCTCTTCCAATATTCTTTCAACCATCCATCCAGTTAGATGGAAACCCAGAAATCTTTCTTTTAACTTCCCTTGCCTTATCTTCCATATACAATTTATAAACAAGCCTCATCTATTGTGTAATAAATAATTCTCACATGTAGTGGTTTCCCCTAACCACCAGGGCTACCCCTAATTCAGGCAACCATCGCCCCTCACTTGAAGAATTTCCATGCCCTCCTAACAAACAGTCCTATAGATGCTCATCCTTGCTCCCTCTCATTCACTCTTCCTTGTTGAATCCAGAGGGATCTTTTCCAAAAATGAATCAGATTCTTCCATGTTCCTTTATCTAGTTGAAGCTTACTCATCCTTCAGATTTCAGCTTACACATCACTCTCTCACAGAAGGTTTCCAGGCTCTTCTATATGGTCTTCTCCTACCATATTTTTTTCCCATTGTAGCCCATGTCACGACTGCAGCTTTATGTTTGTGTGATTGATGCATTATTTCACCTCTCCATTCAGACAGCAAAATCCATGAGAATAGGGTCTGCCTCCATTTTGCTTATAATTCTATCTTACAACTTAGCACAGTGCCTGATTCCTTCATTCATTCATTTAAATATTTGTTGAAAGCCTACTGTGTGCCTGTTACTGTGTTATCTTAGGCACTAAGGATGCACCAGGGCACCAAACAATGTGGGGGAGACCACAAATGAACATCAACAAAAAGTGAACAAAGAAATGTATGTTAAGCAGTGATGAGTATTAGAAAAGAAGCAAGTTAAAGAAACAGACATGCTAGGATGCTGAAGAAAGTGTACTATTTCAGGTAAGGAGGTCAGGGAAGTCCTCTCAGTAAGGAGCTATTTCAGCAGAAGTATGAAGGAAGAAAGGCATGGGCCTCTTTGTTATTTAAGGAAGGAACAATTAAGACAGGAGCAGTAAGAAAAAAGACTCTGAGATGAAAACTCAAGAAACAGTAAGGAGCAGAGCAAGTGAAATGAACAGTACTTGGAGATAAGGTCAGAGATGTTTCAAGAGGCCAGATCATATAGGCCATAAGTGACAGACACAGCGATGCATCACTCAGACTCCAAGGAAGTACATGTTGCCCACCTTTGAGAGTGCTTTCTGGAGCTCATGCCCTTTCCAAGGCAGCCCACATCTGGTGCCTGATTAAGGCAGAACTATAAAAGCCTGTCCATGTTGCCCAAAGCAGGATAACTCTTAAATGCACATTTCAGCTCCTGAGTGTTGTTTGTTTGTTTGTTTGTTTAAGACAATCTTGCTCTGTCACCCAGGCTGGAGTGCAGTGTCACAATCATGGCTTACTATAGCCTCAACTGCCCAGGCTCTAGCAATCCTCCCATCTTAGCCTCTTGAGTAACTGGGACTACAGGCACGTGCTACCATGCCCTGCTAATTTTTAAATTTTTTTGTAGAGAGAGGGGTCTCACTTTGTTGCCCAGCCTGGATGTGAACTCTTGGGCTCAAGCAATCCTCCTGCCTTGGCCTCCCAAAGTGTTGGGATTACAGGTTTAAGCCATGGTGCCCAGCCAACTCCTGAGTTCTTGATGGCCTTGATGAAGGAATCTGTTGTCAGGTCCAAATTGCAGGTCTTCCCCCTCGATCCTGATTCTTTTCCCACGCTTCCACAGGTTTGGATACCAAGGCCATTTCCTAATCAACACCCTGGACACTAAACTTGGTTTCAGAATCTGCTTTCTCAGCAAACAAACAAATGAACAAAAACCTCCAAAATATATGCATAAAATGAAATGTCCTCTCTCACCCTGGCCCCAAGCAAAGAACTGCCCCAGTTCTTCTCTCCACTGGGGCAACCAACATTTTATGTTTCTTGTGTATTATTCACAGATATGCCAAATGTGAGCAAATACCTACCTAACTACTTACATATATACATACTGTTGGAAACAGATGCTCGGTGCCACAAAGAAATAATTAGCACTGAGACCAAGGATCTTTCAGCAAATGCAACTTTTACTTCCTGGACTGCAGGAAGGGTACTCTCACTAGCCATCTTGCCATGAGAGTACAACAAACAAAGGAAAGCAGACATATTTATCCCTTATGCACTGGGGGTCATCCTTACTGCTGTATCTGATCTCCTTTGGCTGGAGTCAGGCCTCACAATCTAAACTAAAATCCGATTGGCTAACAACTTAAAACTTTTCTAAACAGGTAAAAGCAATGGAAAGCTGGGGCATCCAGCACAGATATTTTGGTTAAGGTACAAGGACACAGAATGCACTACGTGCCTGTAAGCATGGCGTGTCTAACAGCAACATAGGATAAGTCTTAACAAAGAGTTATTAGCACACTTATGATTTTTTCTTTAACGAGAAAGGAAACTTTAAAGAGGAACTTTTCTACTTCCCAAACATACATACATATACACATACATAGGTAATAAATAGATGACAGGTATTCATTCATTTATTTTGCTACACATATGATAGTAAGCTATTCGCTTTGTTTTAAATTTTAGTTTGTTCACTTGACAACATATTGCAGAGTGTTCTTTTCTTGCATTTTTTTTGGTTTTGTTTTGTTTTGTTTTTTGTTTTTAATTTTTGAGGCTGGATCTCACTCTGTCCCCCAAGCTGGAGTGCAGTGGTGTGATCTCAACTCACTACAATCTCAACCTCCAGGGCTCAAGCAATCCTCCCACCTCAGCCTCTCAAGTATTTAGGACCACAGCTAATTTTATTTTTTGTAGAGACAGGGTCTTACTATGGCCCAGGCTGATCTCCAACTCCCGGACTTAAGTGATCCACCTGCTCCAGCCTCCCAAAGTGCTGGGATTATAGTCATGAGCCACTGCACCCAGCCATATAATAGTACAGACATTTATCATACGCTTTTTTTTAACAGTTGCATAGTATTCCATTGTGTGAATATACCAGTATTTATTTAATCTGTTTCTTATATTGCTTCTGAACTTTTGCTGTTACTTATATTGCAATGAATAATTTAACCTTTATTTTTTAAAGCTGTGGTGGATATTGTGAATTGGTTTGCTCAATATCCATTATAACTTTCTTTCATTATGCTTTCCTGCAGAGAAGAGTTGATGTTATGAACCGAATTGTGTCCACCGAAAATTCTTTTGTTTTTTTTTTGAGATGGAGTCTCACTCTTTATCCCCCCAGGGTAGAGCAGAATGGTGCCATCTTGACTCACTGCAGCCTCTGCCTTCTGGATTCAAACAATTCTCCTGCCTCAGCCTCCAAGTAGCTGGGATTACAGGCATGCACCACCATAACCTGCTAATTTTTGTATTTTTAGTAGAGACAGGGTTTCATTATGTTGGTCAGGCTGGTCTCAAACTCCTGACCTTAAATGATCTGTCTGCCTCAGCTTCCTAAAGTGCTGGAACTATAGGAGTCAGACACCGTGCCTGGCCTTCACTCAAAATTCTTATGTTGAACC